CCCTCCTTTCTAGAATTTTCTCTATTTGTCAGCAGAGGCAGGAATCCCACTGAACGTTTGTTAAAGAGCCATAGAAGAATTCTAGGTGGCCTTGCTTGCAGAAGATAACTGCACTTGAACTCTATTTATATATATATATGTATTTTTTTTTTTGAGGAAGATTAGCCCTGAGCTAATATCTGCTGCCAATCCTCCTGTTTTTGCTGAGGAAGACTGGCCCTGAGCTAACATCCATGCCCATCTTCCGCTACTTTATATGTGGGATGCCTACCACAGCATGGCTTGCCAAGCGGTGCCAGGGCCGCACCTGGGATCCAAACCGGCGAACCCCGGGCCGCCGAAGTGGAATGTGCACACTTAACTGCTGCACCACCAGGCCAGCCCCTATCTATATTTTTTATATTATTCTTATGTAGTCTTCAGAGATTCAACTGGGATTGAAATTATATTTACCAAATTTTAGCATACTGGTACCTTAAAAGAAGTAAATGTAAAATAGAAAAATGTATAGCTTTTTATGCAGTAAACAGTAAACTCAGGAAATTTTCATTTATTCAACAAAATTTTGCCGACTGTCTATCAAATTCTAGGAATATAAAACGGAACAAGTCCTGTCCTCAACTTGCTCACAGTCTGTTTGGGAAAACTATTATGAAGCTGTTGAAAATCATGTTTTCGAAGAATTTGGGGAGCCCAATGTAGGACTGCATACCGAGTACACTTAAGCCCATAAAAGATTGGAAGGGTATTGTTCAAAATGTTAAAACAGATTATTTCTGAGTTGTCGGATTGCAGAATTATTTCCTTCTTTATACTTTTCAACATTTTCTAAAATTTCTAAAGTGAGTCACGTGATTTTGATAATTAGGGAGAAAAAGATGTCATTAAAAAACGATTGCACCTGATTAGCTGCAGCCCCCGCTCTCTGTTGCCAGCTGATCCTCGCCTTTGGCAAGAGACAAATTTCATGAGCCCGGAAGCCCTGCCAGGAAAAATGCAATTAATCAGAATGAATCGACCCTGGGGCCTGGCCAGCGCCCGCCGGAGGGAGGGGAGGCTCAGAGAAGCCCCTCTGGAGAGGGGCTATATTGTTTCTCAGGGACACTCCAAGATTGAGCTGTGCCCACCTTTGGATTCCCAGAGCGCTGACCTAAAGATTAATTGCTGGGCTGGACTGAAAGCTGGATAAACGCTGCCTGGACTCTGGCGCTGCGTGCGCACCTTGAAAAGTGAGGAAACGTGGCTGGGCAGAAGCTCAGGCAGATCTGCACCCCTCTGAGCTGCCAGGGAGAACGTCATACTTCCCTCCAAATGACCATCAGGTTGCTTGACTGGGAGTCCAGGTTTCTGCCAGAATGCATTTGAGACTAAAATCCCCTCCTGCTATACTGTCTAGCGCTTTTCCTCTCGGACCAGTAACATCTGCATCCCCAGGGGGAATGCAGAAGCTCAGGGCCTCAGCTAGATTTGCTGAATAGGAATCTGCATTCCAACAAATCCCCGGGTGACTGGAGAGCGCTGGGTTTGCATAGCACCGCTCAACACACCTCTCAGTTGCTTGAACCTCAGACGGGCTGCAGGGAGGAGCGAGGGGGCCCTGTGGGAAGCCTTGCCTGCAATCAGCGGGGCTGGAAGCAGAAATGGACCTGAGGCCAGGCCAGGCAGCTGGAGAGAGCACTGGTTAGCATCTTACTTCTGCTATTTAGAGCAAATGAGGCCGGACACTAGCCTATTCCAGGGCGACCTTCTCTAGGAATGTGGGGGGCTTACTGGGTAATCTCTCTCTGTTCCTCACAGGGTCCCTGGAGCTTAGTAGGAAGCAGAAGGTATTATTTTTATTTTCCAGATGGTTGTATGGGGGTTGGGAGGAGGGAGGTTGGGAGGTTGCCAGCCTGCTGGGAAAGCTCAGAGCCCTCTCCTCGGTCTAATGGTGCCAGCTGGCTCTCGGGCCAGATATGAAGGCTGCGTCCAGGCACACCGTCATTCCAGATCTCCAGAGAGCTGCCAGGTGGGTTGCTGGATCCTCTCGTCACAGCCGAGGCCCTGCAGCCGGGCAGCTCGGGAGTGCAGAGACACAGGGCCACTTTTATTTTTTGAGAGCTGGTGGTGATGGTTTTCAATATGGTAAAAGTCCAGAAATGCCGGAACAGGTTAAAATGTTATAGTTTAAAAAAATATTCATATTTGAAAATATTAATGTTTAAAAACACATACAGTGTGAATAGGATTTACGTTGTATTCGTCTGCTAGGGCTGCCATAACCAAGCACCACAGACTTGCTGGCTTACACAACAGAATCTGTCTCAGTTCTGGAGGCTGGAGGTCTGAGATCAAGGTGTGTGTAGGGTCGGCAGCTTCTGAGGCATTTCTCCTTGGCTGTGGTTGGCCGTCTGCTCCCCATCTCATCATATAGTCTTCTCTCTGTGTGCCTGTGTCCAGTTGTCCTCTTGTTGTAAGGAAACCAGTAGTATTGGATTAGGGCCCACCCTAATGACCTCATTTTAACTTAATTATTTTTTTAAAGATCCTGTCTCCAAATATAGTTACCTTTTGAAGTCCTGGGGATTAGGAACCTCAACATTTGAACTTTTGGAAGATACAGTTGGGCTCATAACAAACATCATTTGGAAATAACTTCGAAAGTCTAGAATAAAGCCCGTTTGTGAATGTAAGGCCCGGGCCCAGGGGCCCTCCTCCTTCCCTCCATCCTGTCTGCGTCCTGGACCCATAAGCCATCCAAGTGGGCAGAGGGAGGTGTCTGATTTTCCCTGTGTTTGTGTGTGGGGTGGAAACATTGTAAAAGGTCTTCCCTCCCCTTCAGCCTACTGTGGCTGCTTGCTGCCCTCCGAACCAGTGTTCACTGTGGTCTTTATGTGGGTCCCAGCAGATTTCCGCTTTGGTGGGAAAATTTGAGAGCTTGGCTTCAGCCAGTGCTCATGGCTTGGGAGAGTCTCCCCAGGGGTCAGCAGTCTGTTGCCCCCACATTTGGGGCATGCATGGAGGAGGCCTGCCCAACGTGATGTCTTCTGGCCCTGAAGGTATTCCTGCAGTTCCAAATCCCCTGGAAGAACTTCCCTGGGGAATTATTCAGTAATCACAAAGTCAGAACTGCCCAGTGTCCATCTGTGCCTGGGAACCTGCCCCCTCACAATGGCAAATGTCAAGTCTCTCAAGTTTTCCTTCCTCCCTGAGGCCACCTGTTATGGGCTGAATTGTGTCCCCTACAAAGGATAATGTTGGAGTCCTAACCTGCAGTACATCAGAATATGGCCTTATTGGAGACAGGGGCTTTACAGAGGTGATCAAGTTAAAAGGAGGTTATTAGGGTGAGCCCTAATCCAATAGGACTGGTGTCCTTATGAAAAAGGGGAAATTTGGAACCAGAAATACCCAGAAGGAAGACGATATAAAGAGACACAGGGAGCAGATGGCCATCAACAAGCCAGGAGAGAGGCCTGGAATAGATCATTTCCCTCACAGCCCTCAGAAGGAACCTTGGTTTCCAAAACCAATTCTCCAGAACTGTGAGACGATAAACTTCTGACGTTTAAGCCTCCCAGTTCGCAGCACTTTATTAGAGCAGCCCTAGCGAGCTGACGCACCACCTGTGCTAACTCCTCCCCCGCCCGCCTCCCGCCTCTCTCTCCTTCTCTTGTACCCACCCGGCTCACTCTTCATTACACACGGACGTGTGCGAGGCCTTGTGCCATCCCCAAGGGTGTCTTGTCTAATTTACTTATGTGGAAGTCTTGGTTCTCTTCAATGATCATAAGCTTCCTGAGGGTAAGGACCAGGATTATGTTCCTTTTTAAAATTCCGCTGGCCCTTGCTCAGTACTGACCAGAAGATCAATGAAACTGTGTTGATCTGAAGGACTTTCCTCCCTTCCTCTGTGACCATCTGTGACCCCCTCCAGACACATGGGCAACAAGAAGACACCGAAGACCCCACCCCTCAAAGCTCGGGGGACTTTGACGAGGTCCTAGGATCAGGGGGTGAGTGCGTTCCAAATGCAGACTACGTTTCTGCCACGTCGGTGAGACGCGGATCAAAACAAATAAAATTCAGTGTTGGAAAAAACGTTTTTCGCACATCTGAATCTGTGGCTTGAGCTTGGAACCCACTTCAGGAACTTTTATAGAGATTTCATGCCTGATGGAGTTAGAATTAATGTTTCTTAAATACTGACAGCTTCCCTGTCCAGGTCAGCATTTTAAAAGAAAGGAGCAAGTGAGAAAGAGGCAGAAAAGGTGGGGGAGGGTGCTCCAAGGCGGTTTCCACCCAGCCCACAGCCTGTGCCATGGAACCTTCCATGGGCCCAGATGCTCTTTCATAGCTGCTCTCCTGCTGGGGAAGCCCTGGGGGCCTTGTCTGCTGCTGCTTGGGAGGAAGTGTCAGCTGTCTGGGCTCTCGAAACCGCCTGAGCTTCTGCTTTGTGCTGCTTCCCATATGGGAAAGAGCAGGGTTCCTGTTCCACAGCCTGAGAAACCCCACAGGCAGCCCCTGAGTGAGATGTGAGAAGAGAGTGAGGGGTGGAAGGTGGGCGAAGGGGCCAAAAGACACAAAATTCCAGTTATAAAATACATAAGTCACAGCGATGTGATGTCCAGCATGGTGCCTGTAGTTAGTAATACTGAATTGCGTATCTGAAAGTTACTAAGAGAGTGAATCATAAGTTCTCATCACAAGAAAAAAACTTTGTAACTGTGTGTGGTGACAAATGGTAACTAGACAGTGTGGTGATCATTTTGCAATGAGTACAATTATCAAATCATTATGTCGTACACCTGAAAAGAATACAATGTTATATGTCAACTAAAAAACTGACCGGGGGAGGTCTGACGTCCCTCCCGTTTGTGACCAGGGATGCCACGGGCTCTCTGAGCCAAGGTGCGGAGCTCCGTGCTCCTGGGACGTGGCCCTGCGGAGGTTCTCAAGCTCGGTGGGGCATCTGGGTCTCTGGGAGAGGCATGCGGAGTCCTGTGGGGTATGGGGGAGGGGGCTCACTCCGGGGTCAGATGACCTTGGTCCACACCCTGGCTTTCCTCCTCATTAGCTGGGTGAACTTGCTTCTTGACTTCTCTCATTAGTCAAACGTGGATATGAAGAGCATTTTCTTTTTCGCTTTGCTGTAAGGCTTTAATGCGATAACCTACATGAAGCATCTGGCATGTAGGATGTACACAAGAAATCTCCCTGATGATGATGCGCAAAACGTCTAGAGGGGAGATTTTGCATTTGGTAGGATGCTAAGATCCTCGTTAGGGTGTTCCATCAGTAGTTGGAGAAGAGTGTTGTTTTCCTACACATCAACATGTGCTCCTGCCTGGTGACATTTATAGTTTTTGGCTGTCCATCATCTAACCCTCACTTCCTAATGGCACCTGTCACTTTCCCTTTCAGGAGCCACACACCTGGGTGGAGTCGTGTGTGGGGCCCCAAAGGGCCAAACCCCAGCTCTGTCCTCAATGGGGGTCGGGCACATGCCTTTGGTTTGGCCAATTCAGCTCTCCTGGAAATGGTCTCTGATCCCTCTCTCTGGACTCCTATTAGGTAGGTATCCAGCCTTCTGGATCAGTCATCTTTTCTCTCTGTTGATTTTGTTCCCTCTACTGGATAGTTTCTCTATTTTATCTTCTAGTGTTTCTGTTGAATTTATTATTTTAGCTATCATAATTTTAACTCCTGAGAGCTCTTGTCTGTTTTCTGATTATTCTTTTTTTTTCTGCTTTTTCTCCCCAAATGCCCCCAGTGCATAGTTGCATATTTTAGTTGTGGGTCCTTCTAGCTGTGGCATGTGGGACGCTGCCTCATCGGGCCTAATGAGCGGTGCCATGTCCATACCCAGGATCCAAACCAGGGAAACCCTGGACCGCTGAAGCAGAGTGTGAAAACTTAACCACTCGGCTACGGGGCCAGCCCCTGATTATTTTTTTTTAAAGATTTGCCTGAGCTAACATCTGTTGCCAATCTTTTATTTTTTTTCTTCTCCCCAAAACCCCCCAGTACACAGTTGTATATTCTAGTTGTAGGTCCTTCTTGTTCTGCTGTGGGGGATGCCACCTCAGCATGGCCTGATGAGTAGTGCTAGGTCCACACCTGGGATCTGAGCCAGCAAAACCCTAAGCTGCCAAAGTGGAGCTCGCAAACTTAACTGCTGGGCCATGGGGCCAGCCCCCAGATTATTCTTTTCCCTCCCTAAATATAACATTCTGTTCTTGTTTCGTGGATGCATACCGTCTTAGTCTGTTTGGGTCGCTAGAACAAAATGCCACAGACTGCCCGGCTTACAAACAACAGAAATTGATTGCTTACAGCTCTGGTGGCTGGAAGTCCAGGGTCAAGGCTCTGGCATGGTCCCCTTCTGGGGAGGACCTTCCTGGTTCGTAGCTGATGCCTTCTCTCTGTGTCTTCACTCTGGAGGGTTCTCTCTGGAGCCTTTTTTATAAGAACATTAATCCCGCTGATGAGGGCTCCAGTCTAATGGCCTAATCACCTCCCAAAGGCGCCCCCCTCCTAATACCATCACCTTTGGGGGTTGAGATTTCAACATATGAATCTGGGGGGCGCACAAACATTCAGACTATAGCATGCATCTTTCCTGAAGGGTATTATTTATGGTTTTTTTCTTTTCAGTGTTCCTCTGATCCCTTTAGTCCTCTCTCCCCTCTCTGAGCTGCTTTTACTCTGATAGTTTGCTCTCTCGCCTTTTAGAGTGAGGCACCAAAACACGAATTTGACAGCTCCCTGGGCGTTCCCGCCCGTTGCCCCACAATGAACAGCAATCACGATGCTGCTTTCTCTGTTCCATCTTCTTCTCTGAATACTTATTATGGCACTTTACATTGTTTGACATGTTCCATTACATTAATGACTGTATTTACTTACAATTTCCCAATTGTTGGGCATTAAGTTTTTCCTTTTTTTTCTCTCCTAGAGGTAAGTTTGCTATAAATATCTTTCCACATATGGCTTTTATTGCCATCTGAATCATTGTCTTGGAATAAATTCTGCTTGTGCAATTGTCAGGTCAGAAGCTGGTGGGCACTTTCGTCGCTCTTCTCTGTGTTGCCAGATTTCTTTCTTTCTTTCTTTCTTTCTTTCTTTTTTGAGGAAGATTAGCCCTGAGCTAATATCTGCCGCCAATCCTCCTCTTTTTGCTGAGGAAGACTGGCCCTGAGCTAACATCCGTGCCCATCATCCTCTACTTTATATGGGGGATGCCTACCACAGCATGGCTTGCCAAGCGGTGCCATGTCCGCTCCCGGGATCCGAACTGGTGAACCCTGGGCCGCCGAGAAGGGGAACGTGTGCGCTTAACGGCTGCGCCACCGGGCTGGTGCCCCAAGCAGATTTCTTTCTAAAGGTGGTGGATTCAGGTCCAATGTCAGCGGCAATAAATGAGTACAACCCTTCAAGCACAGGACTTCCGAGTCTTCCTTGATTGCTCCTAGTTTCAAAAGTACAAAATGGCACTCATTATTGTTCAAATTTGTCTTTCTTTGGTTCCTAGTGAGGTTGGACATTCTTTTGTGTGGAACTGGACAAATTTAGCCTGGAGTGACATAAGGAAGCCTGCTGGATACAGAAAAGCTCCTTAAAGCTCCTTCAAATAGATGCAACAGCCAAATATTCTGTGTTGTTGTGTTGGCAGTGGTTCTTAGCCTGGTGCTGCGGGCTGGTTGTAGGCTCTTCCTGGGGGCTGTTAATTCCTCTGCACGTCCAGCCTGCGCCTCAGGCAGAGAAGGTCTCAGCACCAGAGAACGCTCAGAAACAAGGACTTGCAGGTGCTGGCAGTTTGATGTCCATGAGCGATGAGTGGCGGTATCTGCCACAGTGTTTCTCAGTAGGAACAAAAGTTCCCTTGATGTAAGCAGGGTCAGGTGTGCATTGGGACGCAAGCTGGGTCCCAGTGAGCTCTTTCTGAAGCCTGAGGTTGCCAGGGCCTCTGCATAAAGTTGTTTGGTCTGTGCGCTTCATAAAGGCAGGGGGCCACAGAGGCACAGGGGCTGCTGAAATCTAGCTTCGATTCTGCTCTAGGCACCGTATGGGCCAGAGGCACTCCCAGTAGACCGGGCTTTAAACTCTGAGGGAAGATGAAGCTGTGGAGTCTGGTGAGGGTGAGAGGCAGGTGTCGAGAAGGAGAGCCGGGGCATCTCAAGTCCCAGGATGTGCCTACTTTCCACTGCTGGGTCTTCACCATCAAAACAGGAAGTGGGGGTGGCCTCCCCGGAGACCCCTGGGCTTTTGTCATGTGTGTCCCGTCAGCGTTTCCCTTTGAGTGCTCTGGAGGGGGACAGCCTTCTGGACCTCCCCTGGCCTGGCCTGGCTGAGGCGGGTCTCACAGCAGAAGGAGAAGCGTGGGCCTGCGGTTCTCCAAACCTGGCCCTAGTCCCCGCTCTGCTCCTAACCGGCTGTGTGACCCTGACAAGCCACAGAGGGGACTGGGCCTCAGTTTCTCCAACTATAAAAAGAGGAGGTTGAAAAAGGAAATCTTAAAAAAAAAATTTATTATGATAAAAAATCTGGTGATTCTATGGTTTTAGATACGTGACTTTATAAACACTTGCTCATCCTCAATCTCTTCTGTATTAGGGAGAATTAAATTCAACTGAGAATAACAGAAAAGCCCCAAATAAGCAGACTATAATTTCTCTCTCATTTTCAAAAAGTCCAGATGTAGAAATTTTAGGGCCAGTGTGTTACTCCGTGGTGTCAATTCTGTCCTGTTCTCTGCTATGACACTTAGATTCCCAAAGTTTCCTCCTCAACCTAAGATGGCTTCGGGTGCTCCAGCCACTACATCCATATTCCAGCGTAGGAGGAAGGAGAGGAGGATGAAGAGGAAACATCAACAGTCTTTAAAAGAAGATTCCCAGAAGCTACCACGAATTTTTTGCTTTACATGCGATCGGCCAGAACTTAGTCATATGACCACACTCAGCTGCAAGGAAGTCTGGGAGATATAGTCTTATTCTAGGCATCTACGTTCCAGATAAAACTGTGGGCTCTCTGACTGTGAAGGAAGGGTAGAGCAGATATTGGGAGCCATTGTCCCCACCTTAAATTTCTCCAGGTGCAGGGCTAGCCAAATAAGCCTCTCCCTTTGGCCTCTGCCCCTTGCCGCACAAGCCCAGTATCAGTGACTCCACCTTGCGTCTGCTTCTCTGGCTCTACGGGCAATTTTTGTTTATCAGCCTCAACTTCTACCTCTGGGTCCCAATTTCCCGTTATTTCTTCATTGGGGATGTGGAAAGAGCGTTTCGTTTAGTCTTTTCACTTGTAAGCCCCCAGGTGTCTTTCAGCTGCTGGAGAGAGGTGACCCATATTTCAGGGGTGCCCAAGAGCACGCCCGGGTTCCGTGACTCGGTGAGAGGACTCAGCATATCGTCGAGCTCACAGCGATGGTTTGTGACAGCAAAGGATACGAAGCAGAAGCAGCAAAGGAAAAGGGGCATGGGGCAAAATCTCGAGGGAACCAGGTGCGGAGCCTCCCAGCTTCCTCTCCTGGAGGGTCACATGGGATGTGTTTCATTCTCTCTGCAAGGAGTTGCAACGACCCGTGTGAAATGCCTACCTGGAAGCTCACTGAACACTCAGTGCCCAGGTTTGTCCTGGAGGTTGGACACGTCAGCGCTCTCTGCCCAGCATGTTCCCAAGTTCCAGGCTCCCAGCAGGACGGCAGGTGCTCAGCATAAACCATGTTGCACCGTTGAGGCCCAGCGAGCTCTTACCAGCTCTGGGAGTGGTGGGAGCCTCCGAAATCCGGTTTCTCAGACACCAGCCAAGGGCCAGCTCTGCCAGCGGGCTTTTCAGGGAGAGCAGGGTCAGGCCTGCTGTGTGAACTCTTTCCTGCACAACTGCTGACTCTCTTCTGTAGGCACAGGATCATGGCAGGTTTGGAGCCAGTGACGCGGCTTTGAATCTTGCCTCTGCCATTTGTAAAGTAGGTGTCCTTTGGCAAGTCCCTTTACCATTCTGGGCCTCAGTTTCTCCAGTTACAGAAAGGGAATCCTCTTCTCCTCTCCCCCTCCCCTCCCCCCGCCCCTTGCAGGGTAGTTGTCAGGATTAGGGGTGATGTGTGCAAAGTGTCTGGAAGGCTCTCTAAACGGAGCAATTACTGTTGTTAGTCTTTTTTCCTCCCTGTCTTTGGTCCGATGCCTGGGGCAGGGGCGGTGCCGTACAGCCAAATCAAGGTGGAGTAGGAAAGCGCTGGGTGTCCTGCCCACCTTCTCCATCCTGCTCTCTGTCTGGGGGGCTGGCATGGGTGCTCTCCATCAGTGGCCCCCCTTGCACCTGGCTCTGGTTGGGTTTGAGCAATCGTGTGGGGGAGGTTGAGGTTGGCTGTTAATTTCGTTGGCTTCTCCTGGGGATTTACAGGGTGGCCGTGCTCCTCTCCCCAAGGCTGCAGCTCTGGTGGGCCAGCCCTCACTGCACCCCTACCCTCTGCAGGTGTTAGTGACCACCCTCCCCACTTTCTCTGTCAAGGGTGGCGGGAGGGGTGGGAACAGCTCCCCTCTCTTGTGTGGTTTGGTGGTGCTGGGGAGGAGTGG